AACAACTTTTCAAGCCCTGAAACAGCTTTTTCAGGCCAAAAGTAGCAAAGAACAGAAAGTAAAAACTGCTTTAAACCATGAAATTCATCAATCTTTCTGTTTTAAACAAAGATTATATGCAGTTTTAAACATGTTTAACAAGTTTAAAGTGAAAACCAAGTGAACAGAATTAGTTTGAAAAGGTTGTCATTCTGCATTGGAGGAAACAGCTTTTCAGGCCCTAAAACAGCTTTTTAAACGGGCCAAAAGTAGCAAAGAACAGAAAGTATTTGCTGCTTCGAGCCATGAAAATCATCATTCTTTCTGTTTTAAAAAAGTTAAACACAGTTTTAAAGTTGTGTAAGTTTACAGTGAAAACCAAGTGATCTGAAGAAGTTCAAAAAGTTTTTATTCTGTGGTGCAGGAAACAGCTTTTCAGGCCCTAAAACAGCTTTTTTTTCCAGGCCAAAAATAGCAAAAAACAAAGTGATAACTGCTTTAAACCATGAAAATAAGCAGTCCTTCTGTTTTAAAAAAGATTTTATGCAGTTTTAAACATGTTTACATTTAAAGTAAAAACTAAGTATCTGATGAACTTTGAAAAAGAAGTCATACTGCGTAGCGGGAAACAACTTTTCAAGCCCTAAAACAGCTTTTTCAGGCCAAAAGTATCAAAGAACAGAAAGTAAAAACTGCTTTAAACCATGGAAATCATCACTATGTCTGTTTTAAACAAATATTATATGCCGTTTTAAACATGTTTAACAAGTTTAAAGTGAAAACCAAGTGATCTGAAGAAGTTTGAAAAAGTTTTCATTCTGCATTGCAGTCAGCAAAGAACAGAAAGTGATAAAAAACATATGTGCATGAGGTCACCATTTTTCTCAAAATATATATATTTATTTAATGAGAAAAAAATTGTATCATTGGCAAAAAATAAAAACAATTAAACAAATAAATGAATAAACCTTAAATTCCTTTGCATTGTCACGTTTGAATGAAAATATATCTAAATTTTCTAAGAGCTTTTAATGTGTGGAATAATACAAGTTGGAAAACGAGCCCTACTTGTTTATTAATCTACATCAATATTTTCATGTGCAGTAACCATGGAAAATTCAAAAAACAGAAAAACCTTTTCTGCAGCGAGAATAATAATAGATATGTCTGTACAGAAATCAACTTCCAAAATAAACCTAAGAAATATTCACCCTACATCTTCATATCCTTAAAAAAACTATATACAGTACTACCCTTCACCTTAAAAATGTGCCGCTTTCTCTAAATGTGAAATGGGAAATTTGTAGTCACTAATGATGTCGGATTCTGAATATAAAAATAGCTTTGCAAAAACCTCCCAAATCTCGAGAGCGAGCGAGTGGAGGAGCGATGAAAAATAGAAAAAGCCTTCAGCAGTTGAGTCACAATTCACCTGAACAGATTCAGCGTTATTGTTTAGAGATTTGCTGGTGTATCTGTGCTGCTTATATCAAATGAGGTGAGGCTACGCTCCGAGTACTAATCTTCTCTCTAAGAAGATGCTGTAAATCCTAATGCACAAGTGTCAGCAGTTCTTAATGCAAGTGCTGCTCTCCTCTGACCCACACATTTATAAAGCCCGCTTTAAGATTCCCCCAGAGCCTTCAGCCATCGAGCAATAATACTTTGAAGTTAATTACTAAAACTTTTACTATAATAGATGAATCACAACATGATCAGGGAGTTATCTGCATGTCATTTATACATTAAACAAGCTACTGTTTGGATCTTACATTTGGATTTGGAAGTCTTGATGTTACATAATTGGACCACAAAATCAGTCTTAAGGTTTTTTTTATTTTAATTTTAACTTGTTTTTTATTTAAATTAGGTGGGCTTAACTAATATGTACTTACACTGAAATTAATCATTTGTTACAATGTACTTATTGTGTAAATACCTGCGTTTACATTGTACTTGTGATTAATTAAATTGCTGTATATAATTACATCTGTAATTAATTTCTTTATTTGCACTTGCAATTACACTGTTGACCATCCCTTACACCTTAAGCCACCCTTAAAACTACCCATACCATCCACCATGTCGAAAACCATACACACATCCCACCACAAGTGCACCAATCACAGTAAGTGCTCTTAAGTACATAGTAATTAAGGCCACCTAATATATACAGTTGAAATCAGAATTATTAGCCCCCCTGAATTATTAGACCGCTTGTTTATTTTTTCCCCAATTTCTGTTTAACAGAGAGAAGATTTTTTCAACAGATTTCTAAACATTAAAGTTTTAATAACTTATCTCTAATAATGGATTTATTTTCTCTTTACCATGATAACAGTAAATAATATTTGACTAGATATGTTTCAAGACACTTCTATACATCTTAAAGTGACATTTAAAGGCTTAACTAGGTTAATTAGGTTAACTAGGCAGGTTAGGGTAAATAGGCGAGTTATATAATGATGGTTTGTTCTGTAGACTATCGAGAAAAAATATAGCTTAAAGGGGCTAATAATTTTGTCCCTAAAATGGTGTTTAAAAAATTAAAAACTGCTTTTATTGTAGCTGAAATAAAACAAATAAGACTTTTTCCAGAAGAAAAAAATATTATCAGACATACTGTGAACATTTCCTGAATCTGTTCAACATCATTTGGAAAATATTTTTAAAAAGAAGAAAAAAATGTGAAGGGGGCTAATAATTCTGACTTCAACTGTATATATGTAGTTTAATATTAACACCTTGTTTATATGTTATATTAGATTTAATATATTATATAGATAAAAGATATGAAAGCTGAATAAACAAGCATTCCATTGATGTATGGTTTGTTTAATTTGTCAATATTTGGGTGGCATAAAACTATTTGAACATCTGGAATCGGAAGGTTCAGAAAAATTGAGGAAAGTCCCCGTTAAATTTGTTCAAATGACGTGTTTAGCAATGCACATTACTAATCAAAAGATGAGTTTTGATATATGTACAGTACACAATTTACAGCATGATTAAAAAAATCATATAACTAGATCTTTACTTAATATTCTAGTGATATTTTGGCATAAAAGAAAAACTCATATGACTTCTTCAAAGTATTTTTGGTCATTGCAAGAATATACCAGTGCAACACAGTGCAACAAATGCATACAAGAAAGCTATATGAGTGTCCACAGATTTATTTCCAATGCATGTTTTTTTGCAAACACACTATTTGTTTAGTTCTCCTACTCCACTTTTCATGCAGTGAGAGTCAACAGAAGCCCTTTGAATCATGTTGTGCATTGATATATTAATATTGGTGGAAATCTAGTTCGTGTTACATGGTGTTTTCCACTGTTTTTGTAATTGCTTCTTGCAGCCATGTTGTCTCTTTCTCATGAATCCATCTGCGCTCGCATAACAACTCAACTGAGCTTTTCCTCTGCTTCTCTCAATACTTACAACTGCAATTCTGTCAGTACAGAATTAGTCAAAATGTTGCTGTTTGTGCTTGAACTGCACATTTTCCTCTGAAACAGCACTTTTTCTTTAACAAAAGTCTTATGCAGCTAGTCGTATTCACGGTGGATTCATTATGATGAATCAACTTATTCTTGATCTTGTGATAGATGAAAACATATTTTAAGGTTCATAAACTGCTTGTTCTGGAAAAATATTTAAAATCGGAAAAATATGACAGCTCAAACTGCCTATATAGCACCTGCAGCTCTGCATACAGCAACTTTCAGAAGGATCGCAGTTTTAAGAGAGATGACGTTTTAGAGGGCCCAAATGTAAGAATTTTCATGTACTAAAGGAGTAGTTGGATGGCACAGTTAGCACTGGTTAGCACTGTCACTTAACAGCAAAAAGGTCGCTGGTTTGAGTCCAAGCTGCGCCAGCTGGGATTTCTGTGTGGAGTTTGCATGTTCTCCCCATGTTCGCGTGGGTTTCCTCCGGGTTCTCTGGTTTCCCCAATCACTATAGGGGAATTAGGTGAACAAAATCGGCCATAGTATACAAGTGTGTGTGTATGTGAATGGGTGTGTATGGGTGTTTCCTAGCACTGGGTTGCGGCTGAAAGGGCATCCACTCAGTAAAACATATTTGCCGGACTAGTTGGTGGTTCATTCCGCTGTGTTAACCTTTGATAAATTAAAGACTAAGCCAAAAAAAATTGATTGAATAAATGAATAAAGGATTAGAACACATCATGTTCAACCTGCCCTTGATCTACAACCTGTATGAGTTTTTCTGTTGAACACAAAGACATTTTGAAAAATGTTGATGGGCACCATTGACTTCAATAGAAGGGGAAAATATTCTGGAAGTCAACGGTGACCTCAGTCTGAAATTGAAATACTCCTTTAAAGGACAATTCACCCAATTTCATCATCATTTAAGCACCATTGACTTGTCTCAAACTTTTGATAGTTTCTTTCTTAAGAAGATATACATAAAACATAAAAGAAGATATTTTGAAGAATGTTGGAAACCTCTAACCACTGACTTCCATAGTATTTGTTTTTCCTACTATGGAAGTTTTTATTATCTTCAGGTATCTACTTTTGTGTTTAACATAAGAAAGAAACTCATACAGGTTTGGAACCAAGATTTTTATTTGAAGAATCGGAGACAATTTTGCTGTGAAAATCTAAAGTACGCACACAAACCAAAAACCTCTCTTCCATTTTTTGACATGTAAAACAAATGCTTATAATGCTTTTTACAATGCTTATGAAGCTGTTCTGTTCTATAATGTCATGAAAAGAAATCAAACTTAAGCCTCACGTAGTCGGATCAACAGTATATGGTTTTAAATATACTTCATAATCAAATTAAACTATATTGGTGTCTATTTAATCACTTCATTTGCTGACTTGAATTGATATCAGTGACATGCATCATTTTTGTTGCATTTATTATGTCATTCAGAGGAATTTGCATATTTAAATATGCATTTAAATATTTTACGTTTCTAACATGTAGCCTATTTGAAGTCATTTATTAAGGTAAATCTAAAGTAGCGAACATCCACTTACCCACAGGTTTGTTGACTCCCAGGAATCCTGCACTGCCCAGAATTTTGAAGATCTTATGAGCAGGAAACAGTCCTTCTTCCTCCCATTTGTCTACATGGGGGTTGATCTCTTGATCGATAATCTGTAAAACATTCAAAACGTAGTCAGAACACCCTTACAGCCTCTGTGAAAATAAAATGACAATAAATCTTGGTGGAATATCATTAAATCATTTTTTATTAACTAATTCTAACAAGCACAACTTTGAATTTTAATTACTGTACGCTTTAGTTAATGTTGGACTATGATTATTTAATGCTTTATAAGATTATTCATACTTAATATTGGTAAATACCTTAACCACTATTCTAAAGTGTTACTGCATTTATTTAAAAATAAAACAACATACTTATTCAGGCCTGTGTTTTAAAATGTATTAAAGAATGTGATCACACTAATTTATTTGCATTTTTTAAAATAAATGATATTGATAAATTTATCATTAAATGATAAATAAATACATAAATTAAAAAAATTTTTTTTAAAAGAATAAATTGCAGTACAGGATAAAAAAAAAAAATATATATATATATATATATATATACACACACACACACACACACACACACACACAAACACACACACATACAGTTGAAGTCAGAATTATTAGCCCCCTTGTTTATTTTTTCCCCAATTTCTATTTAACGGAGAGGAAATTCTTTCAACACGTTTCTAAACATTAAAGTTTTAATAACTCATTTCTAATAAATGATTTATTTTATCTTTGCCATGATGACAGTAAACAATATTTTACTAGATATTTATCAAGATACTTCTATACAGCTTAAAGTGACATTTAAAGGCTTAACTAGGTTAATTAGGTTAACTAGGCAGGTTAGGGTAATTAGGCAAGTTGTTGTATAAAGATGGTTTGTTCTATGGACTTTTGAAAAAAAAAATTGCCTAAAGGCGCTAATAATTTTGTCCTTAAAATGGTTTAAAAAAAATTAAAACTGCTTTTATTCTAGCTAAAATAAAACAAATAAGACTTTCTCCAGAAGAAAAAAATATTATCAGACATACTGTGAAGATTTCCTTGTTCTGTTAAACATCATATGGGAAATTTTTTTAAAAGAAAGCAAAATTCATATATATATATTTGACCATGTCTCACAAAGCTAACTGTAGAAGTCAAAGAAATCACATAACATTTCTGAAAGACATGTATCCAAGCAATTAGCTGTGTGATTTGAATGCGGTTTGCATACATGACCCATACTAGACCCTGAAAAAATGGTTCCTTTGATTTAACCGATTTTTAAGGTAAGTGGTTGCAAACAATTTATATGGATTGAATGTAAAGAAACAAATTAAGTTGAACATTACTACATTTTCTTTGTTTAAACTCAGCCTATATAAATTGTATAAAACCACGTACCTTGATTTATTTAGTAAATTCAATGAATCATTTTTTTCAGTAAAGTCATTTACTCATCACTTCCCGCCCTCTATATATATATATATACATAAAAGTGGCAAAAAGCCCAAAATTATTAAAAGACTTTAAGTGCCGTAAAGAGTACAACACCATCATAATAGGATGCTTCCTTGAAAGTGGGACCGAGCCACTAGACTTCCTTCTGAGTCACTTCAAGACGCCTGTATGCTGCAATAACCCATCATTGTGAAATATAATGAGCATCTGCAATCCAGCCGACATCTGAACCCGACAGACACAGCCTGAAATATACTCCTGACTGCATAAACTAAACATCCATTATCATTTTCAAGCTTAGTTGGGAAGACAAAGCTGAGTGAGTCAACGTTTTTAACCAGAAACTGAACAAGCTAATAAGAGAGACGGCATGATAAATCAGATTATGATTTTATTCATTCATTCATTTTCCTCCGGCTTAGTCCCTTATTTATCAGTGGGTCGCAAAAGCAGAATGAACCGCCAACTTATCCAGCATAAGTTTTACGTAGAGGATGCCCTCAGCTGCGACCCAGTACTGGGAAAAAAACACAAACACTCTCACGTTCAAACTCATTCCTTCATTCATTTTCTTTTTGGCTTAGTCCCTTTATTAATCAGGGGTCGCCACAACGGAATGAAACGCCAACTAATCCAGCACGTTTTACGCAGCGGATGGCCTTCCAGGCAGAACCCAACACTGGGAAACACCCATACAATCTTGCATTCACTCATTCACTACAGCCAATTTAGTTCTAATTCACCTATAGCGCATGTCTTTGGACTGTGGGGAAACTGAAGCACCAGGAGGAAACCCAAATAAAAATACAACCTTGGTGTACATGAAACTTTCAAAAACCTTACCAAACCCAAATATTTAAATTGTAGCGTATAATTCATTAATAAGTTAAGTCATAAACAAACAAAAGAAAAATCCTTATCTTTGCTTATCAGCACTGAGTATTGTTGCTGACCATGTCCATCCCTTTATGACCACAGTGTACCCATCTTCTGATGGCTACTTCCAGCAGGATAACGCACCTGTCATAAAGCACAAATACCCCAGACTGGTTTCCTGAACATTTCACTGTACTCAAATGGCCTTCACAGTAACCAGTGCTAAATCCAATAGAGCACCTTTGGGATGAGGTGGAACAGGAGATTCGCATCATGGATGTGCAGCCAACAAATCTGCAGCAACTGATGCTTTCTTGCCAATACGAACCCGAATCTACGAGGAATATTTCCAGTACCTTGTTAAATCTATGCCATGAAGGATTAAGGCAGTTCTGAAAGCAAAACTAATAAGGTGTACCTAATAAAGAGGCCAGAGAGTGTATACAGCAAGATAAATGATGTTCTAAATGTAAATACGGTATTTTTACTGTAATTGATTTACAGTAAGTTACTGGCAAACTGCTGCCAGTAATTTAGTGCAGACTCTACAGAAAATTAACAGTGTGCATTCCTGGTCATCCAGGCTACACACAACATAAAGGTTTATATGTTTGGTTGAACTTTAAAATTAAAAATAGATGTAACAGAAGCCAGCCAATTAAAAGTCATCAGACCTTGTAATACTCATTGCCTGTGCCATTCAGTGTCTGATCACACGAACACTGTGTTGCTTTAACGAGGGAGTCAAAGTAAAGCAAAGCAATTCATTAAAATCTACTTACACAAATGAAGCAGAAACAAAAAGAGCTAAATGCTCATCTCCCCCCAATAATGCATTATGTGGACAATAAAACTAAGTTGATTCAAGCGTGATGAGCCAATCATTTTAATTCAATTAAGGCGATAAAGTTCTCCATCTGTGGAAACGACTGCTCTCTGTCATGCTTGTACGTTTAATGGATTCAGATTGAGCCAAACGGTTTTAGTATGAGCTGTGAAAAGTTAGAAAAATACTGCAGAGGGATGAGCAGCACATTTCCCTTGAAAACACGCAGACGTGCAGCTTCTCTAGCCAAACAAAACGTCCCGACTTAAAATCTGTGCGCAAAACAAACATCGCTTAAAAAAAACGAAAGGAAGCAAGAGGTCAATAGTGTGAGCTATAACAATCTCAGCATGAAGAAAAACCTTAAAAACTGGCAGAGAACATTTACCGGAAGAGTCAGTGTGGATAGCTTTACTCAAAACCCCCAGAAGACTGTGACTGGATAATACGCGCAGAAAGGAAGGGTGCTCCGCCCTATCCGAACCTGCAGTACAAGGTTTTTAATTCTAAATCAAGGCTGGAAACATTCCTCAATTCTCGAAGCTCAGAAATCAGAGCAATAGGGTTTGTCAACACTTCATGCACCCAGAAGACATGACTATTGAATTAATGTGAATAATACGGCAGGGTGATGTTTCCGGGAAGTGCTAACCCCAATTTCATTGTGAACATTTTAGATGTTTTAATCATACTATGGTTAATCCAATCTTATCTGGACATCATGTTAGTGTTACTTAAGAATAATAATGTGAAGAATTTCTTCACCTCGAGTCATGCACTGACCTTCAGGAGGCCTCAACACTGAGTAAATGTTAAATACAAAGGTGCAAACTGAACTCGCGCCTGCGTTTTCCTCTTTTCAGCTCTACCCCACCATAGCTCAAAATTACAATTAAAATAGTGATGTTGTGAAAAGTCATTAGAAAAAGTTAGTTAAATTTATCATGTTAATACATGTAAAAATATTACTTACTCTTAATAATTTAAAGCTGGATTTCAGCATCTTTACTCTATTCTGATGCTCTATTGCAGACTGGGGCCTATAGTAACCTTTGATTTGGTCCACCATCCCATCTGAGAAGAGATGGAGAATGATGACCTGCCGTCTGACAGACACCAGATTTAAACATGACCTATTGTTTGTTTTTTTTATTGCTGAGCCACTAAAAAAAGCTAAATGAAATTAAATGTTTCATAAAATTTTGTTAACTAATCAGATTTAAGGGCGAGACAGTGGCGCAGTAGGTAGTGCTGTCGCCTCACAGCTAGAAGGTCGCTGGTTCGAACCTCGGCTCAGTTGGCGTTTCTGTGTGGAGTTTGCATGTTCTCCCTGCCTTCGCGTGGGTTTCCTCCGGGTGCTCCGGTTTCCCCCACAGTCCTAAGACATGACGTGAATTGGGTAGACTAAATTGTCCGTAGTGTATGAATGTGTGTGGATGTTTCCCAGAGATGGGAAGGGCATCCGCTGCGTAAAAACTTGCTGGATAAGTTGGCAGTTCATTCCGCTGTGGCGACCCCAGATTAATAAAGTGACTAAGCCGACAAAAAAATGAATGAATGAATGATAATCAGATTTAAAATACTGTCACTCGAGCAAATCAAGGCAGGTTCAGTTTGACTAGTGTTATCCACATTAAACTCCCTTGTGTTATAAATGAAAATGTTGATGTTTTTACTGTAAATTCATGATTAAATTAAATTAAACTGCATTAGTCAGTACTGTTTAAAGCAGTGGTCACCAAACTTGTTCCAGGAGGGCCGGTGTCCTGCAGATTTTAGCTCCAACCCTAATCAAACACACCTGAACAAGCTAATCAAGATCTTACTAGGTATACTTGAAACATCCAGGCAGGTGTTTTGAGGTAAGTTGGAGCTAAATCCTGCAGGGACACCGGCCCTCCAGGACCAGGATTGGTGACCCCTGGTTTAAAGTAATGTTCTCTATTTATTTTTAAATATTAGGAAATACATTTGGAGATTACTCAGGGAAACTTTAATGTAAAGCAGTTTGGTATATTTAAAGTTCTTAATCAAGTTTGGATTTGGCCCTTCATCAGAAAAAGTTTGGGCCCCCTTCCTCAATTGTGTTCAATTATTATTGATTCCCATTCATTAATCATGGTTGTTATTACAGTAGCATATCTTTTTGTACAATTTACCTTTCAGGACTGTTAATGAAAACAACAACATTTATTTGAAATAAATGATTTTGTGACATTAAATGGTTTTTAATGTCAGTTTGTGCCTATTTAATTTGTTTAAATAGTAATAATTATATTTAATGTTGTTGATAATACCATTAACATACTGTTGCCACTGGGTTGCTTGGTTTTGGGATTGTGGAGCTGTGCATTGATGGATTTGCTCCTCTGCTCAGTGTTTGGACTTTCAGCAGTGAAAATAAAACCACACTGAACTGAACTAAACTGAACTTTAACTCTGAAAACTGGACTGACACAGTTTCAATTTACTACAACTTCTATGTTAAGCTGCTGTGACGCAATCTACATCGTAAAAGCGCTATCGAAATAAAGATGATTTGATAACTGTTAAGTAATATTTATTTTAAAATGTCACATATATTATTAAGTTTACTATAAACTGTAAATAAATCTGTTAATTAACAGTTTTCTTTTTTTGTGATTTACAAGTTGTGAAAATTCAGCTCTACTCTTTAACAAAGTGACTTTCATTGACATTTTAGTGGTTTCAAACAATGTAATGTAAAAAAAATAATATATAGAGAAATATGTCAGTAAAACAACTGAAAATGTACTGGCAGTTTAATACAAGGTTTTAAAAGCGTCATATACAACACCAAACCAGACAATACATCGCTTTAAACTATTTAAAACATTAATAAAACTTACTTTTACAAACTTTTCAAGGTTAAAAGTTATTGAGAGAAAGATCAAGGTCCCGTTATGCAATTCAAAAGCATAAATAAATGGGGAAATATAAAAACATGAACACGTAAAACTGCTAATTCACAGACATTTGTTTTGTTTTTAAAATATGAAAAAATGTAAAGCAGCACAACTGTTTTATCATTAATAATAATCAGAAATGTGTTTGATCATCAAATCATTAAGCTACAATGATTTCTCAGTGACTGATTACATGAAGATCAGTAATCGGATTATTTGCCTTAATCTAATTAAGACAATAATATGATTAAGATGTTTATATGAGTTGCTTTTTTTTTGTTTCTTTTATGATCCTGTTTTACATGTTATAGCACATAGTTTAGTTGCGTCTCCACGCCATTCACATTTTCTCTATGTTTCTTGTAATTCAGAGTGTTTCATTTTTAGTTTGTCAATTTTTACCTGCAGTTTGGCACTTTCACTTTCATTTAGGAACATTTCATGTGACAAACCAGATATTGGATGGGAGTATGAACTGCTGGATGACTGTTGTTTTAATGGAATATGATACCACATGCCGTATGGAGAAAAAAAACTCCACATTTAGCAATGCAGGTGTCTGTGGTCCTTCACTCACTCAGTAGGTGTAGAGAATAGTGTCAAACAGCTGTGTGTTTATGGAATATCCTGTCACAAAATGCGGCAAAAATTCTACACGATTGACTGTAATAGTTTGATTAAGTTGTTTACGTCTGTGTACTGCACTTCAATAATTCTTCTAAAATCTGCATACTCCACGTGTCTTAATCCGATTCCTGTTTAGTTCGATTATGACCTTTATCAGATTAAATTAATCAAAAATCGCTGTTTACATGGTGAACTCTAAATCAGAGTATTGTTCTAATAGTATTAAAATCAGATTATTGGTGTCCATGTAAACATACTCAGTGACTAAGGAAAGACTGGCGTAAAGAAAAATCATAAAAATAAATTTCAATTTATTTATTGTTTTATTACACTTATTTTATATTAAATACAAATGTATTAATTTATTATGAAAATTATTCCACAATTTTACTGTTTATTATTGCTTTTGTTAATACTGGTCTAATAAACCTCCTTGGTGAACAGAAAATACTTCTTACACTTTTGTATTAATGTTTTTAAACTGACTGTCAGCGTATCAGAAGATTACACACTTCTAAGTCAAGGACTTTTATAAAGTGTTTTCAATGTTTCTCTGTCTCTGGTGAGTTCTTTTAATAAACTCTGTCCCTGAGCTTTACGCTACGGCATTGTTCTCATTATCCGTTGCTTTTTCTGTTTTCCACTTATATCCTTTCTCACACCAGCCTATTCCGATTCTCTTCAAGCCGCCGGGAATTGGAGAAAGAAACTTCCTTCCCAAGCCCTGCAACCCTTCCTAGTCTAGACAGCAGATAGAGAAGTATAATTATGCAGACTTTCACTCAATTCAATCTTATTAAAGCTAATATGATGAAGCGTTCATCACATGCCTTAGAGATGCTAAAGACATTTGACGGAAACAACTTTTGTCAACTTTGTTAAGAAACACCTTGAACTGGCTAACAAAAAAGATTAGCTATTAGTAAATTTGAGGAGGAGACTGGACTGGAAATAACGTCTCATAACAGATCCTAATACGTAATTTATGCTCAATGTATGCTTTTTTATACCAAAAATAGACACATTATTATTAATAACACTTATTAATATAATAATACATGGATTACTTTTTACAATAATACATGTGTTATTAATAATAATGTGTCTATGGTTTTTACAAGCGTTTCATGAGATTTACACCATTTATTTATTTTTACCAAATTTAATTATTATTATTATTTTTACATTTGATCTGTTAGGTATAAATGTGTCAAATACTTTGTGCTGAATTATCTATATAGTAATATTAATGTCAAGAAACTATTTGCACAATATATTTATTCTTTTTCGCATCTTTAACAAATCATTTAATTGACTTTTAAAAATCTGAATGTGAATGTTTACGCAAGTACAATTATTAAAATAAAACTGATTTTCTTGTAATATTGACAATTTTATTTTTTCTTTAATAAATATGTATGTTTCTTTAATTTAGGTTGTTTTTAAGTGTTCATGAGTTGTAAAAGTAAAAACAACAACATTAAATTACGTTGATTAAAATGGGGTTACACTGCTATGGCTCTCATTGAAAATGAATGACTTCTGGCTACTTTGACGCTTTTATGATGCTCTCGCTAACTTCAGTGTGAACGCACAGTTTCAGCCGTCATATGTGGGCGTGGTCAGCTCAGAATACATTTTCAATTTAACATTGGCTTTCATTCGTCGCGATGTATGAACTGAAAATAAATTTATTTTCATTGGTATTCTGCAGCAAAAATGTGCACATATGGTCTTGGAAGATGCTAACTGAAATACACACTGCTATTTAACATATTGCATTATTGTTTTGCATATTACATTTCGATTGAATTTTGCTACAAACATCCCTTGGTGTTATGCTGAAAATGTAATCCTGCGTTTCCTAGACGTGAGTGTAAATGCATGTAGGATAAATAACATTTAAAGGATAATTTTGCCACAATTTCTGCTTCTACATTACACACATCAAATTAATTTTGTGTATTAAATTCTCAGTTTCATTTTACAACTTATAAAGCATTATGATGTGGATACAATTTATATATTAAAACTGTGTTAGGAAATGAGAAATGCAAATGATATTTTTTAATTTTCATTTTGATTTTGCACCAACCATTGCACATATGTCTTAGAAAATGCTAATTGAAATACAGAAAGACGTTGCCATTTAACTTATTGCATTGCCATTTTGCATATTTCGAAATGGCTTTTGCTACTCGTATGCCTCCATACACTGCTAAATCTCAAATTGTAAATTCTGATGATTTTCAGATTGATATATTCATAAGATTTCTCATCAAAATAGAGCAATATATTGTTTTGTATTTTGAATTTTCAATCTTTAACAGGTTTTACTTAATAAAAAATGAATACATGCAGTAATAACATGGTCATAATGCAGTAATAACAGCTCACACTAACAAAAATGTTTACATTTTTACATTCACTACTAGTTAGGGGTGTAACGATACACCAAAGGCACGGTTCGGTTTGGTTCACGGTTTTGGAGCCACGGTTTGGTTCGGTTCGGTTTCTGTTTGCTGTGGGGTTAGGGTTGATGTCATCTTTTCAGCAATGCTAAGGAACAATAGATTCACTTTATAACAAGAACATCTAAACTTTTTCTTTACTAATTTTGCCATCATATTTTTAGTACAGTCAGACTACCTGAGTAAACAACAACAAAAAATACCTCCAATATAGACTAGTCAAAAAAAAAACAATTATCTTTAGTGCAGCCATCTTAACTAAGTAAACTAAAATTAAATAAATAACTGCAGTGTAGACTTAATACGAACTGGCTGATTAGAACCTGGTTTTTGTTAAAAATATTTAGTTATTAACTTTTTTTTAATAAAATAGCAATTATTCAGGTCCAAACAGATTTAAAAAAAAAGTGAAAATAGTATAAAGCTGACAGCAGGCCGGTTTAAGCGTCACGTGACAATCTGAACTTCCTGAAAGCGTCAAAACAAAGCGGTATTTTTACAGTTTGTATGGTTTGAGTCTTCATATCAAACACCTGCATAAAATACTTGAAATATGTCCGACACTGACAATAAAATCGGAAGTAAATCATCCATATAACCCACCTCAGAAGCTAGCAGCTGTGTAGACACAGTAAATGACCTCTTACCCACATTCACTCGCTGAAAGACACGACCTGCGCATTCGTGTAAGTTATATTCACACAGCAAACAAACAACATTCACGTCGACGGATAGTTACACGTTAATTGACTGACATACAGCACGCGGGCATATCTACCTTTCTCAAAGACGCCTTTAATGCAAAATGTTCCTCTGTGTAGAGAATATGGTCGATATTTTCGGCCGAAACTGATGCTTTCGGATTGGAGGAGGCTTTTTCTGACAACTGCCGCTTGTTGCAGACAACACTTGTTTTGAGTAAATTACGATTCGCAGTCAAACTGAGCCTCAAGATCTTTGCGCGAAGAGCCATTCTTGCAAACTGTACACAAAAGTGTTGACTTGCGCATGCGCATTAGACACCCCGCGCTGAACTCAAAGTCAAATGTGCTGTTTACTAGGCTGTTTTCAAGTCCCCTAAAAATGATGACCCCCATTTTAAGACCCCATCCTAAAATGTAAAAAAAACTTTCACGGACAAAGAGTGTGAAATGTATAGTTATTTATAAAATATTTAGCTTCTTTAAGGTTAGATAATTGCACTATTATAATACTGCATTTATACATTATTAGTTACAATTTTGTTTGATTATATCAAAGCTGAATAATTCCGATGAATCCGAAATCATTCAGGGCTGCGTTTCCCGATAACGATTGATCTTAGCACTTAAGAGCGTTTTCTACGAGTCATTTTGCGAACGTTCGTTATTGTTTCACGTGCGTTTCCCAAAAATGCACTTAACACAATTGCACGTAGCCCAGCTTTAAGTGCAACTTAGGAGTCGCTATCCGTTTGTTAAGTGCTGAAATGTCACGCTATAGAATGGCTCGTTATTGTTGCACATGTTATAGCAATCCATATAATTCTTCTTCTACTTGTGTGAATGTATATTCAACTCGAATAACATAAAAAAATATATTTTTGAGCCAGTTTAAAAACATAAATTAACTGGAAATGTCGTACTGTAAAAACACTGTCTTGCTCCAATCTCGCATAAAACTAATTCTAACAGTCCTTGCCGGAAATGACATCAGCATCATTTTCGATATTTATATGAAACCTTAATTAAGTAGAATTATTTATCAATTTCTTTATCAAAAATTGCTTATCTCACATCAAAATAAATAAATAAGTAAATAAATAAATAAATAAATAAGCTCTTACATTTATTTTTGAAAAGTTTAGCCTAATTATTAATTATTATTATTTGTATATTGAATTGTGTAATGTGTAGAAAATATAAATGAATAGAGATATACGTACAAATAAAATGAATAATGACTTTGAAGAGAAGTAAATTGTAGGTGCAATTTGCCGGTTGTCCAGCAGGTGCCCTCATAACTCTGTCTCCTTACGATGCACTTAAGGCTTTACGATTACTCCAGAGCACTCGTAGATCCACGAAGATTTTCAAGTGCTACTTAAGTTACGATGCTTTTGGGAAACAGACCGTAATATTAAGATCAGTCGTACGATCATTTCTACGAACTTCTTAGGCTTACGATGCTTTTGGGAAACGCAGCCCTGTATGATTTTTTAAAAATAATTTTTATCTTTAAATTATTTTTATATCAATATTTTTCAACATTTCCATGGATTCCCTTGTCATTCATTTAATTTCTATTTATTTGTTCATTTTAATACTATATTTTTGTATTAATTAAGTCATAATTATTATAATTACTACATTATTTAAATTTTTTTTTTTTTGAACAATGAGTTTCTTTGTTTAGCTAACAAAAATGTGAATAAAATGTTGGGTAATTTATTTATTTAATTCTTAATTATAACTTTGAATTATTTCATAATTATTGGATAAGTTTATTTCACTTATTTGTTGTTTCCTTTATACTCATTTGTGCATATTTATTTTTTATATTTATTTATGCATTAAAAAGTCTAAATATTGTGAATATTGTCAATATGAAATTGTACATTTATTTTTAGTAATTAATAACTTTAAATGTATTTTATTTATGATATTAACCCTCTACTGCATGGCGTAACCATATGGTAACATGATACTCATGTTCATTTCCCTGCTACTGTTTTTTTAGGACCAACATATTATTATTATTATTTTTTTTTTGTTGGAAAGTGAAGACCTTAGAGTAGCCAATGATGTGCTTTGGTTAAGTCACATAATATGCTGTGTTCTTCGGTAACACAATTTCTGACAGATTGGCGTTTATTGTGAGTAGTTGCTAAATGCAAATGTAAACGTCAATAAAAACAAAGGATCAAATTATGTCAGATCCACAAAAAAATCTGAAACATCACCTCCTGTAAGTTATGAAGACATTCAAAACTCAATTTTTTAAAATAAAATTATTATTTTTTTTATAAATCGATCAAATGTAAGTTACCAAATGGCAACACTGTGCAACAGTGGAACATGCAATATTGCAATGTGTTAGCTAGCTAGCAAGGTCAGCTGTGAACTTAAGTTGTAACAATAACAACATGAATCCTAGTAATATAATGTTGATTAGTCATGTGTTAATGACATTTGCATTATGGATAAAATTAAGTTTTAATGGCAATACTATACTTTTGATTAAATATCAATAAAGGGAACAGTGTATTAGCGAGCACCACCATGTTCTATGGTAATTTAAAGAAGAAAAGGACAGAACTGGCTCTTCCTGCAGATAAAAGTGAGGATGAGATGGGTTTTAGTGACCATAAGAAGGATGCAGACTGGACATTTGATAGAGACAGTGGTAACAAAAACCGAGGTAACAAAAACTCCACACTTTAATGGCCCTTTACCACAAAACTGTGATTTTATTGAACAGCTAAATTACTCCACCATTTAAGCCTTGATTTATCATCTTAATTACTCGAATATTTTATTTTCACTCTGTTTTGTCACACAGATGTCACCTTTTGGCTGGATGCCCATAAAAGAAACCCAAATCAGTCCATCAAGTAAATCTCTGGTAAACAGTGCACAACGGTAGTCTGATTTATTACAACACTTCAAAGGGGAATACACAGCATATGTAGGTCCAAATTCTGAATATTCATTAACAATGAAGGGAAAAAAGCCATTTAGAGTTAACCAACGTCTATCCGTGTTTGAGAATGTCCTTTTTTGGGCAGCGAATTCCAGCAAGTATTACGTTTTTAACAGGTGTCCATGGGCAGCAGTGAACACTAAACTGCGAATGTTGGGGGATTTTCTGTCCACTTTAGCAAATGACACATCCACCTTTCTCCTTGAACGGGTTCTTCTCCTCTGGAATGCCTTTGACCAGAGGATCTTCATCCGCTCCTCCTTGAATGTACTCTGTAATCTCTTCACAGCATTTGGACACCTGATCGAAAGATGTAATGTAAATGTAGATTTATATATACTGCTGGTTAAAGGTTTGGGGTCAGTATGTTTAAAATAAGCTTCTCCTGCTCACCAAGGCTACATTAATTTCATCACAAATACAGTGCAAATTGTAAAATTGTGAAGTGTTATTGCACTATAAAATAACTGTTCAAAAGTAGTTTAGAATTTAATTTAATCCTTTATTCCAGTGATTTAAAGATGAATTTTCATCTTCATTACTCTTGTCTTCAGTCACATGATCCTTCAGAAATCACTCTAATATTAATTATTATTATTCATGGTAATTGTAATAAAATCAACAATGACTGGATTAATAATTAGATTTGAAACTAAGAAATCAGTTATTTTAAAAAATTAACAAATGCCTCCTTGATTAACAGAAAAATTTTATTTAAAAAAAAAATACATAAAATAAAACCTCACCCAAAATTTTGACAGCTAGTGTTTATATCGCATTGAAGTGGCAAAACATAGAGCATTTCCAACAGTACTGTTTGCCATTACTAAAAAAACTTGCTTGCTCAAACTACTTAGTTAAGATGAGTTGAAACAACTTAATTCTTAAGGTTTTTTTCCGAACAACTTAATTGTTTATGTTCATTCCACTTAAATTTGTAAAAAAAACTAAACAAAACAATGAAATTAACTTGTCGATTTGTGTTGGGACAACATGAAGTTATTGTGTGGAACCCAGCATTTTTTTTTTTAATGAATGATCAGTGTTTGTTTGGTGTATATGAAGTATATAAATATATGTTTTGTCTGTTCGATTTATTAACAAAATAACTAGTTACTGTAATTAAATTACTTTCCCACTGAAAAAAAATATTTTAAGTGATTACTTTTTACTTTTAAGGTAATTTAATTACATTTACATATAATATACTTGCCTTAAATTCTACCATTCTCTACCATTCTGTATAAATCTATTCAGAGAAGTAGAGATCAAGACAATTGCATGCACTGTAAAAAGTGAAAACTACTTCAGAAATGACTTCAGTTTGTTAAATCTAGATGAATTAATTAGTTTCCACTTAATTCATTATGTTTTTCAGTAATAAATAAGTTGGAAAAACTTATTCTACATAACTACATTCTTTTAGATGTAAGAAGCTGAAGTCATTTATTTAAGCTGTTCTAATGAGGCTTTTTCAGTGTGTGCTTAAGAAAAAAAAATATTGAGAATTAATTCATGACATCATAAGGTATAAAACCTAAATTAATATTATATTACATAATAATTTATTAAATTATAAAGATATATAATAAAAACATCTAATTTAATTATTCAGATATTATGCATATTAACTCTAATAATTGAAGAGTGCAAAAACCTCTAACTGCGGTCTGAAATGTTCTCCTAATATAAGAATTTATCTCAACCTCCTATGTTTAAGTTCAGTTATTTCACTTGAAAGGCTATGAAAAGTCACTATAAGTGTAAAACTACTGAGCCAACACACAAGAGTCTGAGAAAAATACTAAATTTATAGGAAAACATCAAATGGCTTTTAGAGGTTTTTGCATCTGAAGTCTTCAATTATAAATCTAATATATAGTTTTTTCAATTAAAGAAGGTTAGATTTGTCCAACAGTTGTATATGCTTAAGAAATGTGTCAAATAATGCTATGTATGAAATATGGTGTCTTTAATATAAAATGTTTTTATAGATATGTACATTTTAAGTGTTTTTTTCTCTTTAAATAAAAATAAAAGTTTCTGTTTGACTCAAATTGAACAAATTAAGATATAATTTCTATTGTAAAATTTATGTGAATGTTTTATTAATGCATAAATTCATTGAATTACTTATTGAGTAACTTTTCACACAAAGTTATTAGAAAAGTAATCTAAATACTATTGTAATGATGTAATTAGTATTGGATTGCTTTTTTGAAGTAAGTTATCCAACCCTGCCCATAACACAATTGCTTACCTTCGCCCTTTCTAGCTTCACCTCAGTTTTGAGCTGGGTTACTTCCATCTTCGCCTTATCCAGGTCAGTCATATTTTCTACATCTATGATCGGCATTTTCTGCATGAAATCAAACAATCATATCATTTACATGTTGTGTTGAATGAATGGATTATATTTGATATTCAATATACTGGAAATAAGCAAACTTACTGCTGCTTACGATGAGGTCTCCACTCTGGAAAATGGACAGAGATTCTGCACATCTCTCTCAATCCGGTTTATAAAGTAATCTGCATAAACATTGCAATCTCTTAATCTCATTAAAACAAGTACTCTTATTTTACCTTTCTATAGTCTTCTTTTTTTCTTTGTGGTTAACTATTATTGTGGATTAAAATACATTCGGCAAATGAAATGCATACTTGTACAACTCAATTATATCCTAAAGATAATCAAATTGGCATGAAAGGTTTTCTGCTAATGAGCGATGGATTGCAATGTAGGTCAAGGGGACATAGAAAGTATTACAGGCTACTGTGATGAGCATGCTAATCCATGTTACCCTTAACCTGTCACATTAGATAATACATGATCATACAAGATATGACATGTGTTCTTTCACAAAATGTTATATTATGCGCTACATTAAAACATATATTATATCATATTATATTATATTATAAAAATATTTATTATTTACTCATTTAATTTCTGTATTTTATTTTATTGTTAAATAATGTATATAAAATTAAGTTCATCAACTTGAAAAAGGTTTCTTTTATTTAAAAAAGTTTTAATTTAAATTGTATTCGTTTATTTCTACATAAATAATTTTTAAACCAATTTTAAACTTAAAATGATTTATTTTTAAATTTGTTTTTATTTTATTTTTTTGGCTTTGTTATTAATTTATTTTTAGTACTGGATTGTAATCAGTCTACAATATTATGTATCATCATTTATTTATTTTAATATTATTAATATATTTATCACAAAATAATAATTTTATTATATGCTACTATTATCGTTGTCACATTTATAGAAGATATTTAATTACAATAATAATTATATTTAGTTATATTTATATTTTATTATATTATGTTTAGACATATTATAGTATTTTATGGTATATATTGTTTAATTTGTCGTTATTATTATAAAATAATAATGATTATGATAATTCTACTTTTATTTGGTTGGTTATATATTATGTCTTATATATAGTGTGTATAATAGTTTATGTGTGTGAATAGGAGTCTATGGGTGTTTCCCAGTGATGGATTACAGCTGGAAGGGCATCTGCTACGTAAAACATATGCTGGATAAATTAGTAGTTTATTCTGCTGTGGCAACCCCAGATTAAAAAAGGGACTAAGCCGAAAAGAAAATGAATAAATGATATAATTTTAATTATATAGTATTATTATAGTTACTATTATTATTTTATTATATTGGTACATTTATATATATATATATATATATATATATATATATGAAATGTATCAACATATTAAAAGAATAATAGTAATAATACTATATAATTAAAATTGTAATACTATATTAAAAGAGGTAACTTAAATTGTTGTACTTTTATATATTGTATTGTATACACAAATAGCCTACATAAAAACTATGTATATTTTAATAATAATATGTAAAAGACTAATATGAATCTGCCATTGAAATATCTCTGAAATATGCCGTAATTATTTATTTCCTCCTTTGGGAATGGGAATAGACGTAGTTTGCTGTAGTCCTGGGTGTAATTGTGATGGAAATGACTAAGTTCAGCCCGCCCTTTCAATTCCACCCCTGGCAGAATCTCCTTTTATAAGCCCATGATTGTGTGAGAAGTCAAGTCATATCAGGCGAGCAACATAACATTAACATATCAGACTTACACGCGATCTCACGACCCCAAGTCCATCACAATGGCGTGTGATTTACTCGGAGCTCTGTTGCTTTTCATTTCTGTGCTAGAAAGCGCCGTCGGACTGACGTTACAACCTAAAGGTAAAGATAACATTGAGCAGTTCCAAAGTTGTGAAACTGGGCGAAACGAGCGGTTCTGTTCAATGCTGATACGCAAATTTGGCTTTTAATATTTTTAATGCGATTTTTTTTATTCGCTCACAGAAGTTTGTCTGTTGCAAATTGAAGAAGGGACGTGTAATGACGACATTCAGCGGTTTTACTACAATACAATCAGCCAGCAGTGTGAAGAGTTCAGCTACAGCGGCTGTGGAGGAAACCAAAACAACTTCAGGTCTTTCGTGGAATGTCAGAAAACATGCTTCAGGATACCAAGTACGTTCATTTTCAAGTACAAATGCTGTCAAATCACCAAAAATGCAGTAAACAACCATGTTGACTATATTTGTGGGAATAGTTAAAAATACAGTCAAAATTTTATGACCAAAATCATTAGAATTTTAACTTTCCTACCATATTTTAGATATAAGGCCTATAACAACTTAGTTGTGAGCCAAATTTTCCCTCTATGTTCAATGTTTTGTGTGTTGTATGTTGTTTTTTTATTTCATTAATTACTTTACAATACTGTTGTATTGTGTTATGTAAATAAACAAATATATTAAAAGTTAATTTTTGATTAGTATTAAGAACTTCATTTGGACTTTACTTGATTGCTTGCCTTAAATAAATTAAGCAGTTAAATGTAAATCCAGTTAGAAGTAATCCGTTTAGAGAAGTAGTAATGATTATTTAGCAGATCAATGCTTTAACAAAAGAAAAAGCATTTATTATTTATCAAGACAGTTGTATGTGCTCAAGAAAAACAGATATTGAGAATTACTTCATGACATTATAAGGTACAATACTTTACTTAAAAAGATATAATAAATAACGCTTTATTAAATTCTAAGGTATATAATAAATATATATTTTTAGTTATTTAGAAATTATGCATATTAATTCTAATAATTATAAATTTAGTGTATAACTTTTTTATTAAAGAAGGTTGTGCGCCTGATTTTTCTCTAAATTCAATTCAATTCAATTCAAGGTTTTATGTGTTCTATGTTTTTTATTACATTAATTTTTTTTTACAATACTGTTGTATTGTGCTTTATAAATAAAGTAAGTAAATTAATAAATCCAAAGTATTTTTTTGATTGGTATTATGCATAGCTAAGAACTTATTTGGAGTTTACGTGATTTTTAAAAATGTATATATTAGTTATATTTCTTTTTTCTTAATTTGAACATAATTTGAACTTTTAAGGTGATATTCTCAATATTTATGTATTTTTTTTACTCTGAGATTACAGATTTTTAAATAAATACTGTAAATTAAAATGCACCGTTATGACTGTTTTTTGGTCCATAGTCACATTTGGTTTATCAAAACAAATTGTTGGTTCTCCAAAGAACCTTTTAGTTATCAGTTCCTAAAATAACCTTTTTATTGGCTTGAATTACTTTTAGAAAGATTTATAGGTTTTTAACGAAATAGAAAATAATGTAGATCTCATATCACCATTAAACCTTATTTCTTAAGTTCACGGTAAAAAAAAAATGGTCATAGTCATTCTGTTTACTCTTGAGCTCGTGAGTAATCTTCTGAAATGCTCACTCTGACTTGTGTTTTGTTCCAGAAATCCCCCAGATCTGTCGTTTTCAAAAGAAAGAGGGGCCCTGCCGTGGCCTCTTCAGCCGTTATTTCTTCAATATGACCTCCATGCAGTGTGAACCATTCACTTATGGTGGCTGCCAAGGGAATGAGAACAATTTTCGAAACCCAGAGGAATGCATAGAATATTGCAAACCTCCGAAAAGTAAGTGTGTTTCTCATTTAAAGACATAGTTGACCCATTTAAATTTACTCACTATTTGCTTTTCCTCAAGTGGTTCCAAACCTTTATGAGTTTGAAAACAAAAGAAGATGTTTTGAAGAATGCCACGCTCTAAAAAATGCTGGGTTGTTGTAACCCAATGTTGGGTCAAAAGATGGAAAAATCCAAGCTAACTTTTTAAATTAGATTTAAATGACACTTTTAAACACTTCTTAGATTTAAATGACACTTTTTTTGCACATTTGACCCAACATTCTTTCATTCATTCATTTATTCAGTCTCTTTATTAATCTGGAGTTGCCACAGCGTAATGAACCGCCAACTTATCCAACCACAACCCATTAATGAGAAACACTTATACACTCTTATTCACTTTAGCTTTTTACCCAATTCACCAATAGCACATGTCTTTGGACTGTGGGGGGAAACCGGAGAACCCAGAAGAAACCCACAGGGAGAACATGCAAACTCCGCACAGAAATGCCAACAGATCCAGCCGATGCTTGAACCAGTGACCTTCTTGCTGTGAGGCGACAGCACTACCTACCTACCTAGCATGTTTGCGTGTGTTTCCTCCGGGTGCTCCTGTTTCCCCCACAAGTCCAAAAACATCCAGTATAGGTGAATTGGGTTAGCTAAATTGTCTGTAGTGTTTATGTGTGTGAATGAGAGTGTATGGGTGTTTCCCAGTGATGGGTTGCAGCTGGAAGGGCATCCTCTGTGTAAAAAGGTATGCTGGATAAGTTGGCGGTTCATTTCGCTATGGCGACCCCCAATTAATAAAGGGACTAAGACAAAAAGAAAATAAATGAATTAATAAACATGAATAAATGTTATTTCCTCCAAAAAAAAAAAAACTGTAGAGATGAACATGGGACGTAGAGAAATCATTTTATCCGTTTAATATCCGTTTGTATTATCAATAATTAAGAGTGCTGGAGAAACGGTTTTAAAAATCATGACACAGAGAGGTAATTTGATAAAAAAATAACAACAATATTATTGAATTAGAGCTTAAAAACAAGATTGCTATGCATATTAATACAGCTGTTATGTGTCAGTTAAATCATTTGACCGTTGATATTCAAAATTTGAACCCAACTGGTTGAGTTATTAATAAATAACCTAATGAAGGTTAAAAATAACTCAACAAAGCACCAAATATTTTTTATTAAACCATTGGTTTAAATAAATAACTCTGCAATTTTAGAACTATTGTTAAAATTTGCCAACATTCTTCAAAATATCTACTTTTGTGCTCAACAATAGGGAGGGCAACACTTCATTTTGATGGTGCGTTTGGTGAATTCAAGTTACATTGCATCTACATGCCAACTAATTCTCATTAGATCAAAAGTAGACTGTTGGGGTTAATGTTAGGGTTGGGGTTAGTGTAAGTTGACATGTAGTTGCAAAGTTATAGTCAGTTAAATGTCTGTTGAAGGAGCAGTATCAACAGATATTAAACAGACTGATACTCAAATAGACCATCAAAATACAGTGTTACCAAAGAGAGGAACTCAAAGAAGTTTAAAACAAATGAAGAGCTTAAATGATGACTGACTTTTCAGTTTTAGGTGAACTATCTCTTTAATTTTGGTAAGCTTGTACAGACTGAAGAGGCGATAAAATGTGTTTACTTAAAGTCAAGGTGAAACAGCAGCAATAAAGTTCAGAATGCAGATAATGATTTGGTGAGAAAATGTCAATGGCATTAATAAAATGGATGAGCGGAACATAGAGCAGCACATTACGGCACCTGCGTGCTTGTTGTGACCTTAATGGTCTTCATTTGAATGGTCTTCATATTTTTATTTTCATCTGTTTTTCAATAAGCTTGTTTAATGGCCGTCATGCTGAAATGTTTTCCAGTTTGTTGACTTAAAGGAATAGTTGATTTCCAAAAATGAAATTGCCTCATCATTTATTCTCCTTCACATGGTTTTAAACCTTTTTGGGATTCTTTCTTTAGTTGAACACAAAAGAAGATATTTTGAACAAGGCTGAAGAAAGCATAGTAGGACAAAAATACTATGGAAGTCAATGGGTGCCAGCCATCAGAACTCATTTTTAAAAATGCTGGTAGCTGGCACTTACTGACTTTGATCGTAATTAAAAAATAAAAAATAAAATAAATGTTCATTGTGTTTAACAGAAGCAAGCAACTCAAATACACTCACCGGCCACTTTATTGGGTACATCTTACTAGTAAAGTGGGTCCAACCTGGTTGCCTCATGGTATAGATTGAGTAAGGTACGGGAAATATTCCTCAGAGATTTTGGTCCATATTGACATGATAGCATCACGCAGTTGCTGCAGATTTGACAGCTGCACATCCATGATGCAAATCACCACATCATAAAGGTGCTCTATTGGATTGAGATCTGGTTACTGTGGAGGCCATTTGAGTACAGTGAACTCATTGTCATGTTCATTGTCAAGTAGCCATCAGAAGATGGGTACACTGTGGTCGTAAAGGGATGAACATGGTCAGCAACAATTCTCAGGTAGGCTGTGGTGTTGACACAATGCTCAATTGGTATTAATGGGCCCAAAGTGTGCCAAGAAAATATCCTCCACACCATTACACCACCACCAGCCTGAACCATTGATACAAGCAGGATGGGTCCATGCTTTCATTTTGTTGACGCCAAAATCTGACCCTACCATCTGAATGTCGCAGCAGAAATGGAGACTCATCAGACCAGGCGACGTTTTTCCAATCTTCCATTGTTCAATTTTTGTGAGCCTGTGTGAATTGTCGCCTCAGTTTCCTGTTCTTAGCTGACAGGCGTGGCACCCGGTGTGGTCTTCTGCTGCTGTAGCCCATCTGCCTCAAGGTTGGACGTGTTGTGCGTTTAGAGATGCTCTTCTGCAGACCTTGGTTGTAACGAGTGGTTATTTGAGTTACTGCTACCTTTCTATCAGCTCGAACCAGTAATTCCAGATATTTCTCTGTAAACCCTAGAGATGGTTGTGCGTGAAATCCCAGTAAATCAGCAGATTCTGAAATACTCAGACGAGCCCGTCTGGCATCAACAACCATGCCATGTTCAAAGCCACTTAAATCACCTTTCTTCCTCATTCTGATGCTCGGTTTGAACTACAGCAGATCATCTTCACCATGTCTACATGCCTAAATGCATTGAGTCACTGCCATGTGATTGGCTAATTAGAAGTTTGCGTTAAGGAGCAGTGGGACAAGTGTACCTAATAAAGTGGCCGGTGAGTGTATGTTTTGAACACGTAAATGATAGCTGAATTAAATTTTTGGGTGAACTATTCCTTTAATGGTCCCTTTTTTGCATAGAACATTTCTTTAAGATTAAAAGTGATTTTTTTCTTTTATATTTCAGCGATCCCTGTGATTTGCCTGGATAATTTGGATAAAGGAAGATGCTCAGCATCCATACCAAGGTATTATTACAACTCTGCCACAAAGACATGCGAGGAGTTCATGTACACCGGATGCGGAGGAAGCAACAATAACTTCATCTCCAAGCAAAGCTGCGTCGACGTTTGTGGTAAAAATGCTACTTTTGTTCACTTTGGATTTTTTTAATAGCATGTGAAGTTATCAGCATTATGTTCTGGGTTTAAAAGTCCCAAGAAGTGCTTTTAAATGTGCATTATTTATACAAGGTTTGACATAATCTCAACTGAAACACAAAGAGAGGGTGGGGCATAAAGTGGCTCCTCCTCCTTTTTAAAATACAGCCAATAGCATTTGGTTATTAAGTGAGAGTGGTTGAGATCAAATGAAAAGCAAATGAGAAGCATCTTGAAGGAGGTGTGGCATGTCAGATACTACAGAGCATTTGATTGGTCAAGATTTGATGAGAAACTGATGTGAAAACAAAATAGTTGACCCATTTAGGCCGAACTGACAAACTCCAAGCTTTGGATGTTTATACCTGTTTTATGTCTTCCAAGTGTGAATTTTGTCTGTGTTTTGGAGCAAATTCGCTTATACATATCCTCAATACTAACAATATTCTTACTAACATCTAAAAAAGTTTTATCTTAATTTCACGGTTTGTTCTTCTCAGGGAGCAAACGTTGGAGTCCCACTAAAAAATCGGTGAGAGTTTCTAAGCAGTACCTGAGACGAGTGAAACCTCAGCCATCGAGGGAGAAGACGAACAAATAATCGTTTATGAAGTCATTTTCACTGTTTTAGGGAACATTTACATGACAACAATGTAGTAATGTAGTAGTTTTTGCTTTTGGTATTTTAACAAGTTATGGATACCAATGACAATGTTGGCAAAATGATCCCTTTACACAGATCAGCGAACGCAGCTAAAAAGTTGGCCAGTAGGTGGCGACATAATCGAGTTCACAAAGAACTTTATGGTATCGTTTACAAAAACTTGCACTTTGAAACACATTTGCATGAAAAACGTCAGTGTTCATCAACAGCCAAGATGCATAAAGTGTTTTCCATTTTTAGTTGAAAACAATGTTATGTAAACGCCTCGTTAACAGAAGATTGAACTGATCTTATACTATTAAAGATGGCAGTTCACTGTGTACATTCACTATATATGATTTTATATAAACAGATGAAGTCAGAATAATTTAGCCCCCCTGTTTATTTTTCTCCCCAATTTCTGTTTAACAGAAATAAGATTTTTTCAACACATTTCTAAACATAATAGTTTTAATAACTCATCTCTAATAACCTATTCATTTCATGTTTGCCATGATGACAGTACATAATATTTGACTAGATATTTTTCAAGGCACTTCTATACAGCTTAAAGTGACATTTAAAGGCTTACCTAGGTTAATTAGGCATGTTAGGGTAATTTGGCAAGTTATTGTATAATGATGGTTTGTTCTGTATATAGCTATATATTGCTATATAGAGGCTAATAATTATGACCTTAAAATGTTTTTTAAAAATTAAAAACCGCTTTTATTCTAGCCAAAATAAAACAAATAAGACTTTCTCCAGAAGAAAAAATATTATCAGACATACTGTGAAAAAATTTCCTTGCTCTGTTAAACATTATTTGGGAAATATTTAAAAAAAGGAGAAAAAATTCAAAGGGGGGCTAATAATTCTGACTTTAACTGTATGTATATATATATATATATATATATATATATATATATATATATATATATATATATATATATATATATATATATATATATATATATATATATATAAATATAACAGTTATATATTGTTTTTAATTAAGATTTAATGAAGGATGTTTAATATTAATGTCATATATTTTTCATGCCTTTTTTATTTTAAATAAAATAAGATTTTATTAACTTTATTTTTTAATGCAGTATTTTGTAAAGTGTAAGAACTGTTTAAAAGGCAAAGTATAATGTGTAACTGAAACTCTTAAAGCGTTCTTTATTATTGTGACAATTGTTTGGATTTTTTACATTTGTATTTTTATCATATTAATGTATATATAATATATACATTTATACACATTTTCATTTGCATTTCATTCCTTCATAATGACACAGTATCACAGTTGATATCAGAATAAACACTATGAGCCTTTCATCTGTGTCAGTTGTTTTTTAATGACTTTTGCGTAGTAAATATAAATGGAAATAGAAAAATAAACATAATTAGCTCTTCAAATACATCAGATTAAATTCAACAAAATTATTTTAAGTGCTAGTAATGAGGAGAACGTTTCAATAATATCTCACTGTCATTCAACACAACAGATATATTGATTTTAAATTAAAAACGACAAATTTAATCTGACTTAAATGATATGAATTGACAATGATATGAATTGACAAATAATAAGTGACAATGCTAAAGTTTATTAGATTTTAGTTATACAATTTTGCTGATAATTGGGTAAACCCTGGATAGTGGCAAATATATAATAACATTTATTTGTTTTTTTGTTTTCTTTAAACCAAGTCTTTTCATGTGTAATTAATTTATTGTTCTTTTGAAAATGTATGTCAACAATTTTTTTTCAGCTAAACAAAATTGTGAAGAGTTTCTTTTTTAGTATAGAAAGATGTAGAAATATTATAGCTTTTTTTTCTGAAAGACCCTTTTTTAATTGTCGAGACATTAATTTTTAAAATCCAAAACTAAAATATACTTGAACTGAAGATATAAACTGTATGAAATTTTTGTAATGAAACATTTTTACATGTTATTGCGCTGAAAAGTATACCTTGGAAAGAAACCAAAACGATCTACTCTTCCTTGGTCTATTTAGCGCCCCCTCGTGTATTTATCTATCAAATAAATGACTTGTTTGCCAAATAAATATAGATAGTCTCTAGACAAAATCGACCAAAGGCATCGACCACACAGAAAATTTAGTTTTATGTCAAGATCAATAAAAGCAAAAGTGAGTAGTATCATTGGCAGCAACAAGTGCCACGCTGGATCTCAGTCCAAGACCATGAAGAATGAAATTTCAGACTTGCAGAGCTAAACGCTAAGGATTTTTAATAGCCCAGCAGGAAAAAAAATTGAAAAAAAAAAATCAAATGAGCTATTTCTTATACATATTTTAAATAATGTAACAAGCAGAACTTAGTTGTATACATGTATATTTGTTCAACATAAAAAAAGACTTTAAAAATTAAATGTATGCACTCCAATCCGACCATTTCAATGACTTCATGTCATTGGACCATGGGCGTTTTCTGCTTGTTGTCAAACTATTACACAACTTTAACAAGAAGCAATTCAATCATAACTTTATGTTAAAACAGGTGTATAACATTAGCCTATTAATCAATATGTGGCTCTTTTTGGATTCTCAGAAGTTATAGAAATAAAAAATGTCAAACAGGAAATATGCAGGGACCATTGTTTTTGTTTACACCCCTTAAAATTATCTATAAAATTAGTTATGGATAGTTTTGCTATTTTTTTACTGTGATGTGTTGTTGGTTATTGGATGTTGAATCGATTGTTTCTTAAGTAAAATTAAGACCCGTTTAAAATGATTTAAGTGATTCTCGTGTTGTTAACATTTACTGACACATGATGCTTTAAAACATAAGGTAAGATGTTAGAAAAACAGCAGCGTTAATGAGAAAATGGCATTAATAAAAGGATGTTTAAATGATTTAAGACCCACAGGACTATATTTCGTTGAATTTAAGACTATATGGCCTGAAATTACTTTTGAAATTAAAGACTTTTTAAGACCCCAAGATACTATTGCCGCGGACACCCTGTCAGTCTACGGCCCAAACAGCCACAAGGTGGAGTTGTGTATTCATACAGTATAATGATCTGCCACAGGCGCTGTCCAACACGTTCATGTGCTGTGTGTGACACTTCATAAAAGAGCAATTATTTACATTGCTTATCACACAGATTACATTCCCAGAAAGCAAGGCTCAATGTGACAAAGATGGCATGTTATTATTTTATGAAAGTTCTGTTTTGCTATGGAGTAAAGGGTCCTTTTCAACAAGAATGATAACAAATAAGCCTAGTTACAGATAAAAAAAAATGTTCAAAGTAAAATAATTAGCCGAGTGCCCTCGAGGGTGTCAGTATGAGCACAGAAAGCTATGGTAAAGATCTTTGTTTAAAATTTTGATCTTTTGCTAAATACAAAAAATCCAATCGAGAACAAACAATAGCAAACATATCTGGCATTAAAACTAAGTGATGCTTTGTATTTGTACATTAAACTAGTATCACAATCAGGGCTTTAACGTTTTTGATCACCAGCCACTGTGGCTAGTAGTTTTCCAACGTTTCTTGCCACGCTGCATTTTTACTAGGCAGAATTTTGTTGCTGGGAAAATATATTTTATATGCATAAATATGACTTTGACATGCTAAAATTACTTGATTTAGATTTTGTGTTTTGTCCACATGCCTCCTCATTCATTTCACCTTTTGTGTGTTGTTTATGAGCAAATGAGTCATGGTTTCATAGTGTTATACTGCGATTTATTTTTTATTTCACATGACTTTTCAGAACTCAATTGAAACGCAATTGTTTTTGTTAGCTGTTTTTCGATTCTTAGATCCCATTTGCACGCATATTGGCTCATCCATATAGTCAAACCCTGCTTTTAAGAAAACCACTGTTAAAAATTTAGTGGGTTTAGTGACTTCGTAACTTATAATTTTCTCTCAGTAAGTCATAATTTCAAAATGTAAGTCATAGTTTGTCTTTTTATCTTTGTAAAATTGACTAAGTAAGTCATAATTTTCACTTAGTAATTCATAATTTTAAGTTAAGTCATAATTTAGATTTATTTATCTCATAATTTGGACTTAGAAAGTCATAATTTTGAGCTAATAAGTCATAATATTGACTAAGCACTTCGTATTTTTTACAAACAATAGCAAACACAACTATGTTTTTACATGTAAAAAACAAATACATGAAATTTAAACTATTCCTGCATATTTTTTTACACAGCAGCGGATGCCCTTACAGTCCCAACCAAGTACTGAGAAATACCCATACATTCTCATTCACACACATACACTACGGACAATTTAGTTTATTCAATTCACCTTTGGCATTTGTGTTTGAACTGTTAAGGAAACCGGAGCTCCCGGAGGAAACCCACGCCAACACGGGGAGAACATGTAAACTCCAAACAGAAATCCCAACTGGTCCAGCAGGGACTCGAACCACTGAGCCAATGTGCTGCCTACTTTATTGTTGGTCTTTAAAATTGTGGGTTACATTAAAATTGGTCTCGCATCAAACAAAACAGACAAAACATTAACAGGACACAGACACAATATGCAAAAAATTAGGGTTGTGCATTATGAAACAAAAACACTCATTTATTATTTCTTTTAGCTAATGAAGCATTAAAATATAGACAGCCAGTCTGAATTGTGAACATCTGAAGCAACAGACAACAAGACTAGAGCTTATCTCCTTTCTACCTATAATTAAGATTAAATCATCTTTTGGGCCTCTGGGGAACTTCTGTTCATTCATTCATTCATTTTACTTCAGATTTAAGGTTTTAAGCAGTGGATGCCCTTCCAGCTGCAACCCAGTACTGGAATACACTCTCACAAACCCACACACATACACTATGAACAATTTAGTTTATTCAAGTCAGTTCAGTTCACCAACACTGCATGTCTTTGAATTGTTGGGGGAACCGAAGCACTCGGAGAAAACTCACACGAACACAGGGAGAACATGCAAACTCCACACAGAATTGCCAACTGACCCAGCCGGGGCTTGAACCAGTGACCTTCTTGCTGTAAGGCGACAGTGCTAACCTCTGAGCCACTGTGTCACCCCAACTTCTAATCAAAGAAACTGAAATTTAGTGTTGCGCTACAAATAATACATATCTGGCATTAAAACTAAGTGATGCTTTGTATTTGTACATTAAACTAGTATCACAATCAGGGCTTTAACGTTTTTGATCACCAGCCACTGTGGCTAGTAGTTTTCCAAAGTTTCTTGCCACGCTGCATTTTTACTAGGCAGAATTTTGTTGCTGGGAAAATATATTTTATATGCATAAATATGACTTTGACATGCTAAAACTACTTGATTTAGATTTTGTGTTTTGTCCACATGCCTCCTCATTCATTTCACCTTTTGTGTGTCGTTTATGAGCAAATGAGTCATGGTTTCATAGTGTTATACTGCGATTAGTTTTTATTTCACATGACTTTTCAGAACTCAAAATTAAGGATTTACCAAAGTTATCTCTGACCACTCCAAACCATAATTATTTCTTAGCCACAGATTTTAAATGTGTAAAAACAAGCTAAATATAGATGTATACTATGCTTTTTATTTAACAAAACATTTCTTTAAAAAAAAAACAAAGAAAAAAAATTGACTTTTAAAAAAATATTAGTTTCATGTATCAAACATGCACCATAATCTGTCCTTGCTAAAGGTCTCTCAGATCACCTACACATAAATGGAGAGTTAATCTCATATTAAAGCAATGTTGTTGTAAAAAATTATAAACTATATAACTATTAAACTATATAAACAAAAATAACGACAAGCAAAAGAAAGCAGGTGAAAACATACTGTGTGATAATGAAAGCATGATCACACG